GTTGTTAACAGCTTTGTATGTTAGGAGGAATATTTTAAATTCTATTCTGAATTTGACAGGGAGCCAGTGGAGAGAAGCTAAAACTGGAGAAATATGATCTCTBYTYCCAACTCTCATTAAAACTCTAGCAGCAGCATTTTGGATCAACTGCTTTCATTAATAATGTTTCATAAGCAGCTCTAAACAGGTGGGTTTTCAGTCTTGATTTAAAGGAAATTGGAGCTTTGTCTGTTTTTATTATTTTCTGGAAGTTTGTTCCAGATTTTCTTTAGTTTAATAGTTTATTCATTTCGATTAAAAACAAAAATTTCAGTAGAAAAAAACCCCACAAATCTCAAAATGAAAGGAAACAGAAAAAGAAAAGAATCTTATAACATCTGCCCTTATTTAACAAAAAATAATAATAAAAATAAATATATACACATTTATATGTGTACACATACACACATTCTTATATACATATATACACATATACATACATATACGTACATATACACATGCACATATATAATTTTACACCCTCATCAGCAAACATTTTTTGATTAACCCCTCAAACATCAGCTTCATATTTTTCATTAACTTTTATCGTTTTACCAAATAAATTAACTGAGTCAGCATTTTTATAATCTCTGTCCAAGTTATTCCATAATCTGATTCGTTGAACTGAGGTACGTCTATCCTTCACGTTTGTTTGAATTTTAGGTTTTATAAACATTTCTAATCCTTTCAAATTATAACAACTTTCCCTGTTAACAAAATTAGATTGAATATTCAAAGGCAACACACCTTTATGAGCCCTATACATAAATCAACACAATCTTATAATCAACCAACTCATATAATTTTAGTAATTTCAGTTGCTGAAACAATACATTAGATGGGTGATTATAATGTTTCCTGGTAACAATTCTTATAGCTCTTTTTTGCAGAATAAAAATAGAATTAGTAAATGTTTTACATAGTTTACCCCAATGTAACAGGGTGGGAAACACCCGGATTGTGACTTGGAGGACGCGACTCTAGGGTCAACTGGTAGATTACTAAACCAAGGTTAAATAATCTAGGGATTCCCGATTATGAGTACTCAGGTAGGTCTGGCTGCAAAATTGACAAAAGCAGGAATAGTTTACAAATTATATTTTATTCRTTATTGTTTTTGTTTTTTT